CAAAAGTAAACAAACGTGCCTAGAGCACACACCCAGCGCACTCCCTTCACATTTACCGGCGCCTCACGGAAATGCCCCAATCACTACTTGCGATCGCAACCTTTCCGATCATGCGACCGCTGTGACAGCCAATCACGGCTGGCACCTGACCCTAAACCCTGACCCTAAACCCCGCCCCACGTCCCAACATCACAATCACCTTACTTGGCCAGGAGGCGCCGGCACCAAAGGGTTAAGAGATTTGTTATAAGAATTGTTGAAGCACATATTTGCACTGTATAAGTGAGAATTTTAAGAGTAAATACTAAACAATTTGCCTTTCTCCTAGATTGGTTCTACCATACCACAAGATAGACTTCAGTACTCGCCTCTTCCTTTCCCTGGAACCGGATCGTTTCGGCTGATCATTAGCATCTTGGGGACTGGTCCCCTCTCTGTCTCCTTGTAGTTCTGCTGCCTCTGAAGCCACTGCGATAGGACCCCCATTGCTAGAACTTGCTCCTCCACCAATAGGAAATATCCTGAACACACAGATCGTGACGTGTACACCAGATGTAAACAAAAGAGGTGAGTAGACTCGGGACCTGAACATCAAGTAACTGCAGCTGCAGGTGAGTCAAAAGGACAGTTAGGGAAAAAAATGTCTTGGTAATTAGTTAGAGGAGATGGGATGGTGTTCTTGCTTTGCTTTATTTATATTATTATTATACAGGACTTATATAGCGCCAACAGTTTTCTCAGTGCTTTACATTATGGAGGGAGACAGTACAGTAACAATACAGTTCAATACAAGAGGGATTAGAGGGCTCTGCTCCTTGGAGTTTACAATCTAGGAATAGCATATGCTGGTGGCAGCGGACTCTACAGCTGTCGATTTGCTTTCATTGACCCCTACGAGTGCTGCCTTCCCTGCCATGCATCCCGGGCTCCACTGTCCAACTTGCGTGCCCAAGATGCACGTCGCGGTTGTCGCTGGATAGAGGAGAGAGAGACTAGTGAATGTTTGTTCACTGAATTTCCCCTACCCAGTAAGGTCTCAGATGCAAGATATATAACATCACTTCTAGTTTCTGCTCCCACCTTCCCTGTGTCAAAGTGAGGATAATAATTCTAGGCCCATTACTCAAGGTTAACTATAAACTAATGGCCTGTGGGGACTTTTAAAGCATTTCCTATGAGAAATTAAGGGTACCGAAGTTTTTCGCTGTTCGAGGGGTGCATGCAACTCAAAGGCTTGACATGCTTGGTATCTATTTTCTTGGCACAACCTCATCATTTATGTGTTGCTAGAGAACTGACCTTGCTTTGAATTCAAGCCTAGTGTATTCAGTTTTTAATAGGAAAGCGGAGAGACTGGCAGGAACACCAGGAATTTCACACAAAGGAAGCAATGCAAAAAACAGGATACTTTTTCATACAAGTACATGGTACATATCAGGAATATGAAATGTTGGGTTTACATACTCTAAATAAATTTTCTTTGTAAATTAGTCCTGAAATTGTGAATAGTTTTCAGTGTTTTTATAAGAGCATTTTTCTAGTGTTTGAGCACGTAATAAGTGCAATGCAGTTGAGAGGTGTTAACTTTAAGCAAAGTTGCAGGACAGGTTAGTTTGGAGCATCGAATTATACCCTTGAGGTTCATATTTGAAATACTGAAAGTTATGCATTTGGTCTTGAAAAACATCATATTATATGCAGCAGAATTTCTTTCAGCTCTAAACCACCTCTGGTTCAAGCCTCAACAAGCTCTGAGGAAGCACTGCAGGCTCCTGCTCCTTATTTAGGAGGGGTTGTTTCCACCTTTACTGATGCAGTGCCTATTTCCCTGCATTTGGAAGCTCAGCCTGCTTTGGTCTTTTTTAACTCTCCGCTGCAAAACTCTTGCCACTACACCTGCTATTTTACTTCTTCTTCTGTGTGGACTGGAAACACCTTGAAGGGTCCTGCACCCCCCCCCCCCATAATTGATAAACTCATTCCTCTTCAGTCCAGAGGGACTTTCAACCTTTAATGTCACTTGGGACCAATTCTAGCTATCCTCTACCTAAACAAGGACCTAACCCCCCCCCCCCCCCAGACTCCCTCGGGAGCACCACTACTCCTTGGCGCAGTTAATCTTTGTGTTCACCCTAGTGCCCTATCCCAACACCCCCATTATGGGGTGCCCAGATTACCCACTTTGAAGGGTCACCTTTTTGGATCCCTGCACTCAGCACCCTTCTAAAGGGCCTAACACATGCACGATTCCATTGGTTAGTGACTTGTAGTTGTTTATTGATAGTAGCTACCTGTCACCAGCTGACACAATGTGTGTGCCACAGAATCCTTCATCTACAGTCAGAGAGACTTCTGAGGTGTGTAGGGCATTGGGGGAATCCCATATCAGGATTGTCTCTTCTTCTCAGTCATTCTAGCCCCTCAGAGCTCAGGTTTTATTTCTATGAGCCTGGGCTCTGAGCAAGACATCCAGATTGTCTCTGTGCACCAGGTAATCCCTGGCTTTCCAGTCTGACCAGGGTGGCATTTTCTCCCCACCCTGGATATGACTTACCATGGTGTGTCTATACTTAGGGATTCTGTCTGGTTCCCTGAACAGATGGTTCCCTCTTCATTGAGGGACCCTGCCTTGAGTCAGTTTGGATCAGTTCCCTTGGTTAGACTATGTTGGATATTAATTAGGTGTGACAAGTAGTCTAGTCTTTACACTGGAAAATGATAGAGTACTAGTTTTGGCTGCACTGTCTCCCCTAAAGACAGTGCATTGGAATGTGATTCTCTTCAACTGATAGTCTTCATACCAAAGCAAAGGGTTGCATACCTGGTTGTTCCTCTTTTCGTGCATGGCAGGCTGAAATCATCACCAAAGAGCTTTGCATCTCATGGACTGCCAGCAGGTGGAGCACATGGGGTCACTGCTGCATATGTCCCCTGTTGAAGATGATGTACATCTAGAGGACTTCATGGGACCTGGGTATAGATCTTCCATCTGTGGTTGATCCAAAGTCTCTTGCATAAGGTTATCTCAATGCCTTCCTTTGTCCTGCCCTTCTCAATGTTCTTTTGAGTGGATTCATTCCCCTCTGGCAGTCATCTCCTTTGTCCTGATCCTGAGCACCAGGTTGGCTTCCCCTTAGTTGTTAGCAGCTTCCCTTGTCTTGTAGGAGGCTTTATAGCTCATCAGTTTTAGATTGCTTTGTTGGTTGTTTAGGTGATTCTGAGTTTCAGACAGTCCTCAGTCTTTTCTTAAGGGCATGTTAGTGGTCTATTTCTTATAGAACATTGATGGACAAAGGTTCCACCACTCTTTTTCTTTTTTCCCTTTGGTACTGCTTTTCTAAAAAAACAGGTATGCGGGGAAAAAGAGAGGTTATATGTGGACTGACTAGTAGCTTTTCTGTTTGCCAGTGTTCAAACCTCCTGAAGATAGCAGTATAACCTGACTATATCTGAATTATTGTGTCCCTTAATGGACTCCAAGAAATAGGTTTTATGGTACTAACTAATTATAAAGACCTAGTAGAATTTTAAAAAAAGACATCCTCCTTGGTGCCAGGAGGGTCATTTTGAACATTTCTGGTACGTCTCACTTGTTGGACTTTTCAAAAAGTGTTAATCCTGACTGTAAGCAGTGAATAGATCTGAACTTCAAACAACTCATTAACACTTTTACTATATTGAAGTTAGTGCTTGGTAAATTGATGTTTGTGGTGGCTTGGGCTATGAAAACAAATCACCTCTTCAGAGTGCAAGAATGAAAGTATAGCTAAAGCCAATTTCGCTTTTTTTGTTTTTCAAATTTGGATAGAGAAGGTAATGGTTATAACATCACGTTTTTTTGCCAGCTGTGTTCCATTCATGAGATTTCCTTTCACTTTCTGTCATGTAAACACAACGGGAAGTGAAAGGAAAGCTTTGGAATTAAAGCGGTATTAAATACAAACACAAACGTTTATTATATTGCAGTTTACCAATTCTAAGATGTGATGGCTGCAGTGGTTTTCTTGTTTAGGTTTCCTTTCCTTTAGTTTCACCTGGTGATCTGGCCAGTTACAGGGATGAGACAAATCATTTACTACTGACAGGGCTGCTTACAATAATCAGATTTAACCTTTATCTCAAAAGGAAAAAACTGTTTGCCATACCTGATTATAAAGTGTTAACTGGTGTTCAGCTTCAGTTTGTTAGAGTATTTAAATTTGCTCATACATTTAACACTCCCCTCCCTCAGATTAGCAATGCTGCTGTCCAAAGGTGCCTCTGTGCTCCTTCATCCACAGTGCAGTGGGGGTACACTAATACAGGAGGTGTGTTACTGACCAGGTCACCAGGGAAAAACAAAGCTAAAAAGCCTAATAAAGAAAACAAAGGCAGCCACCACATCTTCTGATTGGCAAGCTGCAATATATTACATTTTTGGGTTTGGGTTTAATACCACTTTAAGGCCAATTGCATATTAGAGTGTTGTCACTTGAACAAGTATCCCTGGTGTAAGATCTTCCCTCTGTTCTTGTAATGGTGTAAACTCCAAATAGAAGAATCTCTCGCACTTTCAATCCCAGTGACAATGATCAACAGGACAACTAGAGAGGGTAAATCTCCCTAGCAGGGACTCGGGTATTTGGTAACAGTAATTCAAACTCTTCCATACTCTATAACTAAAAAAAGTTTTGGTTTTAGATACACTGTAACTTTGAAATAATATTTAGGGGTAAAACAACCAATAACTGAGCACCTAGGCTTCTGTTCATTTGGATGTATGGAGAATACCAGAAGATGACCACATGCAACACCCCTTTTATCCATAGTATACCACAAAAAGCCAAGAAACATGATTAACGAATCAAATAAGTCTAAATTAATATATTAGGGACAAATAAAGAGAAAATCGGAAATTCCCTGATTTGCAAAAACCCTTCATCTCTATTACTGATATGTTGAACTGTTTTTGTAGGTTTAACATTGTATCTCATTGTCCTTTTTCTAGGCTTTCAACAAAAATGAGTACATATGCTACAAGAGTCAAAACATGGCTGTCATCTACTTGGCATGTTAAAGTACCTGATCCCTGGTTAGAAGCTTGCATTAACTGGATTCTGGAGGAAAATGGTGGTTCTTTATCTTCTCAGGCTGAAATTAATAAACAGGTTTTTGAGCAATGGCTTCTTGCAGACTTAAGAGATTTGGATTTCCCAGTGTTGCCCACTGGTATCTTGGATTCTCTAAAATTTGAACTGAATGGGTTTTATGCCACACAAATAGACTCCTTGGTTGATGTCAGCCTACCTGCATATTCACAGCTTCAAAATATAAGAGGACGAGGCAATGGAAATGACCAGGTTACTGCTAAAACACAAGTAACACAGCAGCCATGGGAAGCAAAACCAACCCGGATGCTCATGCTGCAGCTGACTGATGGAACACAAAATGTTCAAGGGATGGAATACCAACCTCTACCAGCTCTTCATGTTGGGCTTCCACCAGGCACCAAAATATTGCTACAGGGTACTATTTCTTGCCGCCTGGGTGTCCTGCTGCTTAAACCAGACAATGTGAAAGTGCTTGGAGGAGAAGTAGAAGCTCTTTCAGAGGAGCATTCACAAGTAAAAGTTCTTTCAAGACTGATTGGAATAGAGGAAAACTCTGTGCCACAGAGGACACCTGGGCAAGCTCAGAGTGCAGTAAGGCAACAGGATGCAATAGAGCAAGAACTAGGGATATCAGATGAAGATTTGTTGGCAAGCCTTGATAATGATGAATTAACCCTCAACAACAACACAATTCCTGAAAGTGGGTATCATAGTAGAAGTGACAGCTCAAATTACAGCACAAGTGTTTCACTGCAGGACCAGGAATTGTATATGCCAAGTACAAGACAGTCTTATATTCCAACTTCTAATGAACCTCCTCAGGTTATTGTGAGAGATGAATCTGAGGAAGTGTATGACTTAGATGATGAGTTGTTTTTGGAGGAAGAAATTCAGAGAGAATTAGAAGAGATATCTATGAATCAGGCAGAGCCTATAAATAGAAATCAGAATGCCTCTACAGAAGGGTGTACTCCTACAGCTGTCACTTCAAATGCGCCATCTACCAGTCAGACTGTCTCCGTGAAGCTGGATAGTCCTCCGTTTACCTATTTGTCTGTTCTCTTTGATGACAAAAGTGGTACATTCAAACAGATAAAGCTAAAGGCCTTTATTGTAACTCTTATTGGAAATCTCACAAGCAGCGGTGGCTTTTGGAGTGTACAGGCCAAAATATCTGATGGAACTGGTTACCTGGATGTTGAAATCAGTAATGACGTCCTTACAAAACTCATAGGGTTTTCAGTGCCTGAGATGAAAAAGCTTAAAAAGGACCCTACCCAGCAGAGCAGACTTAAGTCTGGAATTCTGAAATGCCAAACAGAACTTACTGACTTCTGTGGGATAATGACCATTTCATGCAAGCCCCCAACAGTTGTGGCTTTACAGGATGTCACTGAAGAAACTAGATTGGCATTAATAAGGAGGTTAAACATAGAATAATAATTCCTTTTTATTCTTTAGCCCCTTACTTTTTTTTTTATAATAAACTGCTATAGTATGTAAAGCTACACACACCTTTCACAGTCTGATTGCATAATATCCTGTAGACTCCCAACAAATCTGCAGTGGTCTACCTGATTAGATTTAAGTCAAATCTTCAATTCTTTACAAGATCTCCTTAAGCCTGGGTTCTCATATATGCGTTGCGGTATATTGCATGTGATTCGCACAGGAACCGCACCGCATTCCTGTGCAAATCACATGCGATTTGTGTGCGGTGCGATTGGAGCCTTACATTTTGTATGGATCGAATCGCACCGCACCCGCACCAAAAAGGTGCATGACCCTTTTTTTGGTCCGCACTAGAATCGGATCACATGGATATTCACACCTATGCGATCCGATTCTGTACATCGCACTGCGTTTTGCGGACCGACCGTGTTGTTGACTTAACATACACACCTGCAGTGGTTCGCATGAACAGGGTGCGATTCTGATGCGATACGGAATTCGCACCGAAAATGCTGCGAATTCCGCACCGCATCAGTGTGAACCAGGGCTAAATGAGCAGATTGTACTTTGGCTAGCTTGAATTGTATGGCTTAGAGCTAGAGCTTTCTGCAAAATTTGGCCAAAAGTACAATGCTGATTAGGTATGCTGAATGTACCATCCAGAGCAAATGGAATGGACAGTAACTTAGAAATGCTTTCACAGGTTGGCGAAACCATGTGTATGATTAGTGTTTTTCAACATTGAGAAGATGTTAAAGGATAATTACAGCCAAAGCTCTTTTGGCTGTACTTCTCCTGTGGATCCCGCTGCCAGCTTTTGTCACTCAACTGGTCCAGGCTGGGGAAAGATTCTGATTTTAAAGCTGGGATCCACCCAAGAGTCTGGAGCTGCACCTGGCTCAGCCTCTCAGCAAACTGCTGAGAGCCTGAGTCAGCGACTCCCTCCCCGTCCTCAGCCCAGAGCCCCAGTGTGCGGAGGGGGCAGAGCAAATAGTGGAAACTGACTTAGAGCAGCTGTAAGAAATCGGCAGTCATGTGATCGCTGAGTTCTCACATTTAGAGCTGGCAGGGCACAGCTAGGTAAGTATAATTTGAGAAAAAACACGAAGGCCATACTTCTCTTTTAACTCTTACTTGACCTTATCAGAAATGGTTACCAAAAATCTGTGTGCTTTTTGTTAGCCAGTTCTTTGGGCACCCTAATATATCCTCAATTTTTTTTAAACAACATGCCTGTGACAAAGATTTTGCACTGCTTGTTCATTTCCTTCAATTGGACATATGCCCAGACTGTCAAATTTAGATTTAGCGTTTAACATTTGAGATTTAATTATACCAGGTTTGTTAAGAAAAACAACTTTCCTGATACTTATCAATAAAATTTCCTGTTGTTATAAAAATGAAGTTCTGGCATCTGCATTAAATTGCTCAAGCACTTAAAATATTTACAGGCCATTAGGTTTGAAACAAGCGGTCTCACATGGGAAAGTTCTACAAAAAAACTGACCTGCATGCTGGAGTTTCTTAAAAATTTTATTTTTCAGATTGTCTGCATTTTCAGCCTGTTAAACACACTAGCTTCTATATTTCCTGAAGTACAGGCTTCCTTTGGGAAGTAGAGAAGTTGAAATTTTAAATTTTCACACTACACTAAAGTTTTCACATATAGGTCTGTTTGTTTTAGTTGCGCATGGTGATGTGATATTAATATTTTTCACCTATACTATGCAGTATACAAAAAAAAAATGTATTAATATATCTGAATAATTCTTGCAGGAAACCTAGTAGGAAACAAAACGTAAGGATTTTCATTAAAGATGTTATCAGTGCCAGATGTTGTTAACTGTGGCCCATTATAAAGCTTAGCTTCCAGACCAAAGAAATATATATGCAAAGTTCACATTTATATTACCGGACTACTGTTTATTACCTGTAATTCATAGGTTTTTCTCTCCCGATTGTGTTTTAGTTTGATGGATAGTTGTATTCTGTACAGTTTTTTTTATATAAAATGTATATCCTATACAGTAAAAAAATTAAATAAAAGATACATACAATAAAGATACATGCCTTCTGTATTCCATTTATTTTGGCAGTCATTTTCTGTACATGGTTTACTAAATAATATTGTTTCCTTTATCCTTATATTCTTAATAGATCTGAGTCTAAGATTTAAAAAAAAAAAAGCTGCATGAACACAGTGTTGTATTAGTAGTTGCCCTAAAGTTGATTATTGGCAGCTGCCTTCCTTTTTGTAGCATATGTTTTATAGCATTTTTTTATCCAAAAGTGAATCTGTGAGGACAGAATTATTATTTTCTTTATTATTTATTTCAGGTACTTCTATAGCGCCGTTAATTTACGCAGCAATTTACATACATATATTGTACATTCACATCAGTCCCTAACCCTCAAGGGGCGTACAATCTAAGGTCCCTAACTCACATTCATACATACACATACTAGGGACAATTTAGACAGGAGCCAATTAACCTACCAGCATGTCTTTTGGAGTGTGGGAGGAAAGCGGAGTACCCAGAGTAAACCCATGCAGTCACAGGGAGAACATGCAAACTCCAGGCAGGTGGTGCCATGGTTGGTATTTGAACCAACGACTCTAGTACTGCCAGGCGGAAGCCACTGTGCTGCCCCGAATTATAGAAGAATTATAGAAGATTTTGTTGCTTAATTCATTTTAAAGATGCAGGTTTTAGGGGGGTTATGCTGATCCTTTTAAGTGACCTGCTTTACAAAAAAATAATTCTTAAACATGGTAAAACTGTTATGCCAAAGTGCTGCCATACGGAGAATGGGAGAGTGTGCATAGTTTTGTATAAACTCCAGCCAGCTCAGCTGAACTGCCACTGTAGAGGCTCTGAGAAAGTGAGTACCGGCTCTTTCTGTAAATTTAGAAAATTTCTACTTAATTATTTAGGGGTTCAAACTGACTTTAGTATGGATTTGAACTGTCGCACCCCATGAATTAGATTTAAACAGAATTCTGGTACAGTGTATATCCAGCCAAAACCTTTTTTCATTTCTTTCGGGGCTGTTTTGAAGAGATTTCCCCTCACATCCTGTTCTGCTGGCTGACAATGTCTGGTGGAATTAAGGGAAACTCTCCCAACAGCAAAACAAACATAAATAAAAAACATTTCTTTTAGTAGAGTATGGTAAGGCTAGAACTCCTTTTCAGATTTTTTTTTTTCTGTTTGTGTCGTCGTTGCAGAATTTCTCACTTCTTGTCTGGTAATACTGTTATCAGCAGGACAAGAAGCGTCCTCTGTAACGGAAACCTGGAAATCAATAAAAGCCTGAAACTAAAAACAAAGTTGCTTTGATGCTCACCTTAATGTGTAATATGGTTCATGCAAAAGAGATTTCAGAGATCCTCAAAAAGAGGCATTGAAGTTAAGAAGTCTAGATGTTCGAAAGAAGCCTAACCTGTGTCTATTGAAATTCTTTTTAAAATGTTTCTGGCCATATGAACTTTAACACATCTTCTCTTCTTCTGAAATATCTTAATTCTATCAGACCTTATTTTAATCTATTGTAAAACAATATGGTACCATTTTTTTTAACCTACAACAGGGCAGGTCAGCCCTCCATATGAACAGATATAATCATGTACTTGAAGTCAAAGAAGATCACCGAAGCACAGAGCTCTCTAAAACCAACCCAATTACTGATGGATATAAAAACTGACAAATGGTCCATTATCTACCAAAATATCAGTTTTGGGAACACTGCACCTTTACTCAGAAAAGCAGATTTTAGAACATGTATTATTTATTTATTTTAGGTACTTATATAGCGCTGTCAATTTACGCAGTGCTTTACATATATATTGTACATTCACATTAGTCCCTAACCCTCAAGGGGTGTACAATCTAAGGTCCCTAACTTACATTCATACATACACATACTAGGGCCAATTTGGACAGGAATCAATTAATCTACAATGTCTTTGGAGTGTGGGAGGAACCCAGAGTACCCGGAGGAAACCCACGCAGGCACAGGGAGAACATGCAAACTCCAGG